GGCAGGGGGGTGAACTGGATGATTTCAAGGTCCTTTCCAACCCAAACATTCTACGATGCTATGATTCTATCCTGATGAGAACTCTGAAACTGCTGTTTGTTGGAAATGGATGTGTTTGTGTTTCTGTACTTAGGCACCATAGATAAAAGCAATTGGTCAAATACCTGTATTTGTAATTTTACCAAAATTATGGGATGCCACTTTAACTACTCAGCTCCTGTCACAACTCGCCCATTTCTCCAGCCGAACTACACATGGTATCAAGATTTACTGTCCACTCCCACTGGATTGAACCTCACATTGGTGAAAAAACTGCTGCAACACGGTGACCTGAATGAACTGCTAAAACAAAGGTGGATTTTGGGCATCAACCCAAAAATGGGATGATAAACTCTGGTTATCATCCATCATGACACAGAAAGGATAATCATGTCCTAGAAAGAGGGATGGAAAACACGGGAGGGCAACACGCTGAGCGGTTCTTCTGGCAGGAAAAGCAAAGCATTAACTATACGAGAAAAAGAGCAGCCTTCTTTACCAGTACAGATTTTATTTCAATTTAATTGCCTATTAAAAAACCCTTCAATTAATTTGTATAGAATTCAAGAAGACCTGCAGGGGTCCTTCACAGGGCCGTGAGGTACAGCAAGCTTTTATAGCAAGGCTGACTATACAGCCAAGGCAGGCATCTCTCTCGAGTAACATCTGTGCATAGAGGACAGCAGTGAAAAGCATTCACAACTGCAAATTTTGACCAGATATGTTTCCAACTTACTACAGTATGAGGAAAAAGAAAAACCGCAAGTCAAAGAGAAAAGATGAGTAGCTTGGTCTTGAAATCTCCAGCCGGCAGCTGTAAAGTAGCCCAGTATGTCCCAGAGTGAATCATCATTTGATTGCAGCTCGCAGGCACATCACCCTTCACTGAAGTACTTTAAATAGCAGTCTGTCTTTAGATGGAATTGTGCAAATTCATTGTATGATCCGTCACTGTGCCTCCCAGCTCCCTCTGCACGCAGATGAGCCCCTTACACTGCCTGACCCATTGCCATGGCTCGGGCCAGCTGCCTGCACACTCTGCTTGGGGGTTATCACAACCAGCAGCTCCTGCCCTGGGATCTGGCCAGCCCTGACACGGCCCCAGGCACTGGGAGGCAGCTCAGCTTCACGCTACACCAAAAAGCCCGTTGGCAATTTAAAACCCCAGCACCAGGGAAGGTGGATGCTCAGCATTAGGAGCTCATCCCCTCCTTCCCCTGGAACTCCTGCACAGGTTGCACAGCAGCGCAGGACGGCCCCTGGTGGGGGCTGCAGCAGGTCCTCGTTCAAGGCACTTCTGTGGAGCACAGTCGAGGCTGGCAAAGGAGCCAACTGCTTGATAACCCGCACACTCCTAGAGACCTCAGCTCCCCACTGCTCAGCCCCCTCCCGAGAGCCACATCCAGCCCTCCGGGTCCATCGCTGGCACAGCAGCCGCTTGGCTCCTTTGCCCATAATGCATCTAAAGGGACAATGCTGCAGGGAAAAACAAGACGTTCTACTTCTTCAGCCAGTGCTGCACAAGGTGAGAAGAAACGCTGAAAGCACAGCTGCTTTCCATTAGCTCCTGTACATCTATAATCTGCAGCACAAGAACCATGGCATCCACACGGATGGCCTCGAACATCTGCACACGTATCCACCTACTGAATTTTACATAGCCAGGGCAACTTCCACACACATGAAGTAAAGCACTTACCTAAACACCAGTACAGTTTCAGCAGCAAATGCCAAGCTATCCTTGACTTGAGAGGGAATCTGGAATTCTGCAGCTAGGCAGGCTCATCCAAGACCCTCCTTGATTTCTTTCCAAGAAAGTAACACTGCTTGCCTCAGAAGACCCAACTCCCAGGCTGGTACATATAAGCTTCTGCAGGAACTGAAGATGGAATTAAAACTTCATGTGCTGCCTGCATGCGCTGCACAGATGTGTTTGTGGAGAGCCACGTTAAAGCTTGGTATTTGCTTCTGGAAGAAACACCTTCCAAGAAAAAGAACATGTTCCAGCCTATGCACTTGCCAACTGTATGACTAACCTGACTTACTTACTTACTTTTTAAATTAACAACTAGCACTAGTAAAGGAACAGATTATTTTCTACTCTTTGCTGGCAGGTCCTTTAACTAACTAGACTTATTTCACTCTCTCCTCCCAGCCCCTAACCCTGAGTTAACCCTGAGCAGCTCATCCCAGATTGTTTTTTTCCCTGAGAGGCATCCTTATCTTGAGCAACATCAGAAAGGGAAGACAGCCGTAACCTTTAATAAACTATCCTAGTCCATATGGTCTTCAAGGCTCAAAAAAGCCACTTGGTTAAGGAACTGGGAGGACCGTGTCCTGCTGCACAGCCAGTGTGCTCCTGAGGCAGGTTCCTCAGCCCAAAGGGGCATCCCTGGACGAGTCGGTACAGCAGATTCTCACCTTCAGATTAAATAAGGCACTGATAACTTCTGTAGATTTCAGTAACAGCCCACACCAATTTGTAACCTGTTATTCAAAGGGTAGCATGGTGGGTAATCTAAACAGAATCTGCTCAGCAGCAGTAAGGCCTCTTTCTGCTTCAGGATGAGATGTGACTGGTGTGACTACTCTGAACACTCAAGTTTTTTGTGTAAAACGGAATACTGTTCTTCTAATGAGGTTTCAAAGTTGGCTTCAAGGCAAAGATTTAAAACCCCATTTACATTTCAGATGTATTTTTTTTCCTAGTCCCTTAAAAAGGAGCTGCAATAGGAGGGAAGCAACAGTGGGGACAGGATCATTTCATTTCAAATGTTATAAATCAGAGCTGCTTTGCTGGAGAAGAACAACAACCTGTTGTCAACTTAGGCAAGGCAGGGAATAAACAACAGAATGCAATTAAAGCCCTCCCCAGGATGAAGGCAGCACAACAGCAGCTCGCTGTGTAAGCAGGGCAGCCAAGCCTCACCCTTAGCCAATGCTGTGGGAAATGCGCTCAGCATAATCACCGTTTTCTCCCTACCAGGAGTCCCTGTGGAGATCAGATCAAGCAGACACAAGAGCTGGTGGGGAAGGGGCAAGGGAGAAGAAATCTAAATAAGCTGCTCTGCTGGCTGTTACTGTGTTTACATGGCATTCGTCTCACTGCTCTACACTGCAGCGACCAGGCTATTAAGTGTTTATAATATCTCTGGTGCTGATCTTGGGGTGCATCTGCAGGTCTGCAGAGAAAACTCTCTTCGGGAGCGACTGTACTTGTGTCAGTAACAGCCAGACCAGCTTTAATGTGCCTGGTGGAGACACCATCCACAGTGTAAACCCAGCAACTGGATCAATATCTGACCAGCTGGGTCAGCACCAAAGAGCTCGTGCTGACCTGCAGTGTGGCTGCGGTGTTGTCCCTGTAGCCTGTCTGATTTCACTGGGACATTTCAAGATGAGCTGCACTCACACTGGTGACGGCCATGAAGACATGTCTGTCCTTGAGATGAGACCTAACATACTGTGGCTGCCTCCATGTGGGGTTGGCTCATGTCCCAACCACACTCCAGTGCCATAGGTAAAAAACGTTTTATCAGAAGAGTAAAATCAGGGTCCTCTGAGCCCTTTTTCATCTCTCAAGACATTTCCCACAAATACTCTTTGGGTCTTTTATTTGAAAATTTGGCAGTGTACCCAATTCTTCCTATGCACTGAATACTCATTACTACATCAGACAAGTGTTGTTCTGGCAGGAAATACACTTACTACAAGACGTCCTACTTGGGAGAAGATCAGAGTAGTTTGGGTTGGAAGGGACGTTCACAGGTCATCTAGTCCAGCCCCCCTGCAATAAGCAGGGACATCTTCAAGTAGATCAGGTTGCCCAGAACCACATCCAGCCTCACCTTGAATGATGATATTTTCATAGTATGAATGAAGTTTAAAGCTGGAAGACGATTTTCAGTCTGACCGTTTGGAGAAAACCATTCCAAATGACTGAAAGTTTCACCTGTGATCCTCCAATGCATAATAACTTGTGATGTAGCTGCAAATTCTACTGAGGTGACATTTGATTTGATCTGGAAATCAATTTGTTCAGTCAGTGAATGAAGAGCCACAAAGCATCTTTCTCACCAAGTACAGGAACATGGTTTCCCCAAGCTCCTTACGCTCTTGAGCAGGTAACTGAAGAACTATCCACTGAAAAGGTGATTTCTCACAGCCAGTTCAGAACTAGTGCACCTTCCAGCTAGAAGACGAAGGCCATTTGTACTGAGGTAGGCAACAGCAAGCTCAGAAATTCCAAGCTTCTTCACTTGCAGCCCTGACTCCCTGCATCTCCCTTCAGAATTTCAGACTTAACAATGGCTTCTGCAAATTCTTCAGGTTTCACCTCACAGAAGAAAAACACAGCCTCATCAAATTACACTGTGAACAACCTCAGGCTCTTCAAGCAGATGTGTTTCTGGCCACAAAACAGCCCCATGTCATGGCACTGAAGTTCCTGCACAGTATCTTCGATCATTTCAGTTTCTTCAATTCAAAGACTGCAAAACACTTCACTGGAAAAGCTAAATACATCTGAAAAATCTTCTTGGTAGTGCTTCAGATCAGCCATTCCAGTCCCTGGGACCCTCTGCGGGCTAGCCACCAGCCTGCACCAGCTCCAACACATTCCAACCACAGCCAGCAGGTGAGTGCAAACATGAACAATGGAGGCTGGGGTGAGGCACGACAAGGAGAATTAAAAGACCCAAGTATGAGGCATACACAGAGGTGACTGGCACTGATACACTTCATAGGTGCCAGTGCCCACCTCAGCTCAGGCAGTGCATCTACACAAAACAGACAATCCTGAGATGGAAATCCATTTCTTAGTAAGGCTTTGAGTGCATTTGTTTCTTTTTAAGTTACTTATCACAAAAGAGAGGCTAGCATTCTTTGAACAGTTGTGATCCTTCATTCCAGTATAAAACACATATGCAAACATGGCTTAAGACCCATGACCACTTAGGATGTAATTTTAAAGTCTGTATTAAAAATATTTTTTTATCCCAATGATAAATATTTTAAAATAAGCATTTACAAAAATAAATAGTCCATTTCAATAAAGAAGGACATATATAGCTGAAATTCTGAATACATCTTGAGGCACTGCAATTACTGATGAAGCTAGTTAATAAAATCTTTGGTATGAGAGCATAGTACATTAATATTCATGCACCGTTGTCTTCCTTTGGCAGGCATACTGTACAGTCAAGCGAATAGGCAGCTTTTCCTTAATTTCTTGATCTGTCTTCCAAATACAACATACAAATATTTCTAACGTGTCTTCCTATGATAATAGGAGAAAAGCCCAAGATTCTCCTGGCTCTTGCTACGACTTTCATATCTAAAACAGAATGAAGACGGAAGGAAAAAGAGAAAGTGAGCACATGTGAGTTTCATTCCAGCTCATCAGCAGCATCTACAGGAAATAAAAATCAATTTAAAAAAGTACTCTAGAGGAAAGCCCATTTCCTTCAATACTGTACACATCAACTGCCAAGACAGGGTAACGATGAATCTGTTTGGATGCATCACTGCAAGGTCAGACACATGAAGAGGAGATTGCTGAGCAAGGGGCTCACTGTAAAGGGGCAGCTTTACACTGACCACAGCACCAGATGGTGCAAGCCTGGAGCACCACATACAGGTCTGGAGGTTCTGTTACACATGGGGCTTTGAGATACTGCATAGGTACAGGAAAGAGCCTCAAAAACTGGACAAAAAAAAGCCTTGGAATAAAACACTTGGAGAGACTGCTCAGTGATTTTAGCTAAAATAAAGAGAGAGCTGGCCTGAGGCACAAGGACCTCCACAGGAGGGAAATATGAAACATCAGCTACGAACAAGGGGGTAAGGGGCTCTGCAGCCTGGCAGGGAAAGTCCTACCAAAAGTGGCAGGCTAGAGCTGAAACCATTCAGCCTGAGAAAAAGACACCCACTTCTAACACTACGGACAACTCACTGGGATCAAGGGAAGTGTTCAGAAAACATGTAGGTGAGGCCCTCAGTGATATGGTGTAGTGGTGGTCTTGGCAGTGCTGGGGTTAAACTTGATGGTCTTTTCCAAACCAGCTGATTCTAGGAAGTGATGGTTTCTCATTTTTTGTGGGGTTTTGTTTGGCTTTTTTTTTTTTTTTGTACAAGTCCCTGAATGTTTTTTGGAAAATGCTATTAAATGGTGGTGACTGAACCTGATGAAGGGAAGTGATGGCAGCTAAGGAAACACACAGGTTAGCCTCAAAGGTCTAATGGTTTCCTTTTAGCCTTAAACCCTGACTCCATGGACAGTCCAGCTGAGGGACTCTGATCTGCGGGTGAACGCTAACACAGTTCAGTCTCCCACATCACCTGAAGCTCCAACCAGCTCCCAGTGGATGTGGAAGCCAGAAGGCTTGGGTCTGTCTCATAGGATCACAGAATCATAGCATGGTTTGGGTTTGAAGGCACCTGAACTGGTGCTACTGCAGCCTGCACCTCTGGGAGAAAAACAGTAAAGAACAATGTCCAACTGTAACTGTTGTGACCTGGGTATGAGGAGCAGAAGGCACCAAACCAAAATGGAGTTTGGATTCTGATCCCCACCTACTGTGTGGAGACTGGCACTTCTCCCAGTACCATGCAGAGAAGCGGCACCTCTAGAATCAGCTACTCTCTTCCCCTGGATCCCTCCCACTAGCCTTGACCCACTGCTTCGCTGGAAGTAATCCATGTGGAAGCATCAACACACTTTCTGCTCTGAGGCACCACTCTCACAGCAATGCTGGGTGAGAAGGTAGGACTGTGAGGAGGAGCCCTGCTGCTGTGAGGAGGCAGGTGACTTTCAGCTGACAGGGAGAGCTAATGCCCCAAGCCAGACACAGAGGCAATGGCTGTAGCTGCTCCAGCTCAGCAAACTGAGCCAGTGTCCTCCAGCCCCATGAGTGGTCATGCTCCAACCAGCTCCCAGGAGATGTGGAAGCCAGAAAGTTTGGGTTTGTCTCATAGAATCACAGAATCATAGAACGGTTTGGGTTTGAAAGGACCTTAAGATCACCCAGTTCCGACCTTGTACCATGGGCAGGGACACCTCACCCTAGACCATGTCACCCAACCTAGCCTTTAACACTGCCAGGGATGGAGCATTTACCACTTACTTGGGTAACCTGTTCCAGCGCCTCAGCACCTTCACAGTAAAGAACTTCTTCCTTGTATCTAACCTGAACTTCCCCTGTTTCAGTCTGAACCCATCACCCCTTGTCCTATCGTTACAGTCCCTTATGAAGAGCCCCTCCCCAGCATCCTTGTAGTCCCCTTCAGACACTGGAAGCTGCCCTGAGGTCTCCACAGAGCCTTCTCTTCTCCAAGCTGAACAACCCCAATGTTCTCAGCCTGTCTTAATATGGGAGGTGCTCCAGCCCCCTGGTCATCCTTGTGCCCTCCTCTGGACTTGCTCCAACAGCTCCATGTATGCTCATGACAGCTGGGAATCACGACCCATTGCTATAGCAACAGGAGTTCACGTGACTACTGTCTTTAAAAAGAGCCCCGGTTTGTGGCATCCTCTGTAGGGAAACTATCCACTATTTATATCTCATCATGCCTGAAGCACAATTTGTATCCTAACCTCATTAATGAATGATGACACTTTGACCAGCTCTAAGCCATGTTAGACCAAGAGGCATCCTGCTCTCCTGGCCCACACTGGAGTAAGGCAATCACAACGAAAAGCACTGGAGCAGATTACCTGAGTTACAGCAATACCAGAACAACGCAAATCCCGCAGCAACGCTAAAGCAAGCGAGGAAAAATACCGGACCTGAAGGAAACGAAAAAGGAAACACACTGAGACACAAGAGAGCAGCAGCAGTTTAGCTCAGTTCCTAAATCATCAGTGGCTATTAATATACACAATTAAATGTATTCAAATGAAGCTAACACATTCACCATTATGTATGTTCTGTAGGTAGAGTACTATGAAGCACATTTACTACACTGTAATCAATTTTACTAGTTGCTTTGATATCACTCACTGTTTGCTCCAGTTCATCTAGCTATATGCTCTGAAATGTAAGTGAAAGCTTCCTTAGATGTTTTCTCACTCTTAAACTTTGTGCAAAAATCCCTTTAAACTCTACAACAAAATACTAGCCATACAGCTGGGTCCTCACCACACAGCGTAGTGATTTACTCTGTGAATACTCCCCGCGACCAATGCACTGCCTGTGGGCACAAGCACATCACAGGAGACTGCAGTCCCTCAGAAGCAGGTTCTTAGGGTCTTGGTTTTTTCCTACGTATGTATTACAAATTCCACTTTTATGCCAAGAACAAATATTCTTGTTCCTTCTTACAATTCTCTGGCTGCTGAAATGCAGAGCCACACACACATCTATGACAAGTCTCCCTCTGGAAATGTTTCCTTCAAGTGCTTGCCTGGAATTACATGCAGTTTAACACTGATGTTCATTACTGATGTTCAATAAAACCTTTCTAATTCATAATTCTCCACAGAAAAAAATCATAAAGACTTATAACTGCTTCTTTATTATTTACTATTCCTTTTGTATTTACTTCTTCATTATGAATATAGCTACAACTGAACCGAACCGAACCTGACAATTTAAGGATAAGGTACTGCAGACTGACAAATTAGTGGAGCTGACTATATGGTCAAAGTCACAGAGGAAACAGTAAAGGAGCAAAGATGTGGCTGTTCCTTTGAATGTCATCTCTCAACGAGGGTGGCTACCAGCCAGATGACCTCCAGTGTGGGGCCAGCTCTTCCATTGGCATGAGTAAAACCAGAAATAATCTCATTTTCTTATTCTCAAGTACTTTCTCTGTTCCTCCTGTAATGTTATATTGCAGTCAGCAGTAGCAATGTGAAAAATCTGAATAGCAGTTTGGTTCAATATTCAAAGCAACCACAACACAGGCAAAAAATATACACTGAGTTACTGTTTTTCTGCCCCTTTTTTTCAGTTTTATCTTGGGGAAAACAGAAAAAAAAAGTGCATAGAAGGTGCTTTTAGTCTCTCATAATTGTATCCAAATTACTAAATAAACACCAATTAAACTTCAATGACAAAATTGGTCACTATACATTTGGAAAATTCTCCCACTTTCTTTCAGAAGTTCAATTCCTTTTCAAAATATTTTTCAGCGAATAAAACATTTGCCTCTATAATCTGCACATTGAACAGAAGGGGAAAAAAATTAACATGTTTTCCTAAGGAAAATATGCTTAAGTTCACCCTTGCTCATCTTCCTTTCTATCTTTGTTTTCAAATGATTTTTACTTATATTAAAAGCTTAAAAAAATTAAAAATGTTTAAAGTTACATAAAAAAATTACTGATGGCCTCATGAAAAATTTTAGCAGCAGCAGCTGAATAGACCTTGATGTTCAAGTCTTGAAGAAATCATAGAAAATTATGAGTTCAGCTATAACAGTAAATATTGATTAAGCTCTACAGTCTCTTGAATTTCCTGGCGTTGGTTTCCACAACTGCAGTTCAGTACATTTTCCTCCATTACTTCCACTTAACATATGACAGTAAAGACATCATAAAACAAACAGTTACATGAAATGCAAATTACATGATAAAATAAATTGCATCATAATCTGAAAAGCCATTCCATCCGGCGACACTGTTTGCATTTATTTACCCCTGTCATTTAGCATATATTTCTCCTTGTCAGTGTCTATCTCTGTGGAATCTGTGGTTTCTAGAAATAAAAGCAACACATGAAAAGTTAGTACTTTGCTTAAGCAAACAAACATAATCAGTACATGCAAAACAGTGCAAAACAACACATTTCAGAAAAATACCCAATTTGGACATAAAATATAAGCCCCTTCAATGGCAGATGATCGCTAAAGTTAAATCTGGATATACGCTGATCAAAAGACACAGGCATACAGTCATTTGAATACAACTGTAAAAAGCTGCAGCAGCACCTCGGATCTGGTTAAGCACTAACCACATAAGTAACATTACACTTGTTTCCCAAATGAGGAAAATAGGAGCCAATCCTTCCAGAATGCCAGGAAATTTCATTGTAATAAATACAAATGAATTGTTAATATTGCTAATCTGAAAACACCCTTGTAATTTAATACATTGCCATTCTTTCTGTTCTTGAGTAAATCTCTGGGCATTGATGTATCTGGCAGATAAAGCAGCACTTGGAACAAAATGCTTGGTGCAGATTATTGATCTAAATTCTGGGTTTGGCTAAAGACACATTCAGCATCTTTGAAAGTCTGCAGGCTCTAGGTGCACATAATTTTTGCCTCTATCTTTGTGCAAATTCTAGTAGAAAAGGAGGTTGACCTTAAGACAAGGTGTTCACTAGTTAGCAGCAACAAAGGAGTTTCTGATTTGGGCAGAAAGACGTGCAGCTTTTTTAGAGGTGCCCTTGCCATATAGATGTGGAAATAACATTACTTGGAGAATGTGTGCAACACTGAAGAACACCGCTGTCCCCATAAATAGTAGAGGAATGATTTTCCTTTAATGCATCATGACTCTGCACAACAACTTTTTGAGCCAAGCCTCTTTGTGGTCAATAGGATTTAAAAAAAAAAAGCTAGGAAGTGAGAACTGCAAATCTGGCAGTCAACAGGGCAGAATTTGAGACTGTTTGGGGTCAACTACCTCCTTCTTTTACATGACAATCTGGAGCTAGGAAAGGGGCCTTGGAAAACACCAAGTCAGCACAGGGGACCTGCCGCCAGCCAAGCTGGTGGTGAACATCTACCTCCCATGCTAAACGAGCCCCCTCAGGGGATGAGAGACATGGTGCTCAAGCAGAACAGAAACACCTAGGGCACTTTGCTGCAGAGGTTGAGACTCACTGAAGGGGAAAGAATTGATGCAAAGCTTCCACAGCACACCCGAGATCAATGGCAACCCTACACATCCTACCTGTTTTGAGGGATGGCCTCCCTATGTACTTCAGCTAAGAAATCTTCACACTTCACAGCACAGCCAAATCTCTCCACTTTGTAGGCTATCGATGTGGGGCTAACCTTTCTAGTTTATGTCAGCACTGACAGAAATAAAAACACTTTCTGAGTCACCCGGATGATCCTGTTTGGCTCCAGCAGCTTGGAAGCTGCCCATGTCATGGGCCTTACCCACCCTCTAGTGGAATTCTGAGAGATTACTCAACAATTCACTTGCACTATATTAAACTGAAGACAAAGAAATTTTGTTTTAGCACAAATTTTAAAGTTGTTTTAAAAAAAATTAAAAATAAATCCAACACCTAAAGGGGCTGCAGGAAACCTGGAGAGGGGCTTTGGACAAGGTCCTGTAGGGACAGGCCAAGGGGGAATGGCTTTAACCTGCCAGAGGGGAGACTGAGATGAGCTCTTAGGCAGAAGCTCTTCCCTGTGAGGGTGCTGAGGCGCTGGCACAGGGTGCCCAGAGAAGCTGTGGCTGCCCCATCCCTGGCAGTGTTCAAGGCCAGGTTGGACACAGGGACTTGGAGCAAGCTGCTCTAGTGGAAGGGGTCCCTGCCTGTGGCAGGGGTTGGAGCTGGATGAACTTTAAGGCCCCTACCAACCCAAACCAGTCTAGGATTCTATGACCTTTGAAAGGATTTCCTCTGAAAGATATTTTTCATATATATACCTGCATGTAACCTATTACAGAACTCTGTCCTGGCCATAACTGATGCAGAGAAAACTCCAGGAACATCATCAGTGTCCTCACCAATAATTTTCCTAGGTTTCATAAAGCTGCTTATTTCACTTCAATTTGCATTTAGAACAAAGTTCCCATGTTAGGGATTCCCTTTTTTCTTCACACTTGCAAATTCTAGTGTCAATTTTATAGCAATTCTCTGCTACATTTGACTAATAATTCAGCTTAAAATGCTGCACATTTATTGACCATTCAACCCAGAATGCAGACATCTGTTTTAGCTACAAACATTAACACAATCATTTCATTATTTCCTCCTCAGGTCAATATGAGGAAACTGCAGAATCTCAGCACATATTTTCACTCAGTTATTTAAATAATTCTTATTGTTCTGATGAACATAAGGGAGTGTAACAACATGCAGATCAACATGGTCACAGCTATGCTATTTCTAGTACTCAGCTGAATTCAGGCCATCTATATGGGATGTAGTCAGGCTTTGGCTACTGCATACCAGTATGCTAATACACATTTTCAGAAATGGGTTGTAGAAGGTATTACTTAATATTTAACACGGCTTAAACTCTTACACTATCAACACACTCTTGAAGTTCCATTCTTAGTGACTACATTAAGATTGCTAAGTTGCTTTTAATTAATAAAGGCTGTCTGCTGCCTTCTAGTCAGGCTGGCAGACAAACTTGTTGCTCTTGAGCTCTACCTGAGTAAAAATAATAGATCCAAGACTATTTGATTTAAGAGCCTGCTCCCTCAAAGGGCATGACTTCTGCAAGGTGAGTATCAGATCAAAGGCACTATCTCAAAGCTGCTGCAAGGCTGAATCAACTGGGATTCATGTTCATCTGAGAGTCTAAGACAGAGATGGGCCCAACTTTCCCAGTTCAAGAAAGTTCACATACGGATCTGGAGACCTAGGTAACTTTGCAGCCTCCCTGTGCAAGCAGGACAAGAATGGTGCAGTCTTCTACCAGTACGTTTCTGTACTGAGTAGAAACAAACCCCTTCCTTCAAAATGAAAGGGGAAACGAAGCTAGACAATGCGTATCTTCAAAGGTAAGTACAATTTACATGTCATTTTCACTCCAGAAACAAAAGAGGTCTAACCTATGGACTTTTGGTGTAAAGGTTTGAATCTCAATGGAGTTTTTGACCCACATGTCTGAAATAGCCCCTGGCACCTAACTGTGAATTTTCTTACAACTAGAAATCAAGCGACTGGTGAAGTATTAGAGCTGTTAGATACTTTATAAGGATTTCTTAAACTGCAGTCCCTTTGCAGCTTCATTAACTGAAATGTGGGAGCTTTCCCTCAAGCTCCTTAAGTCACTTCAGTATGCAAGATGCCTGAACGCATTTCCCATCCATTTGGAACATTGTGCTTTTCTCAAGTTCATTAGGCTGGAGTGGCGGGAAACAAAACCAAACCAACCACGAAACACCAACACATAGCAAGCATTATCCCTGGCAAGCCAGGCTGGATACTTTCCATTGAAGAAATCAGCTCCTTTGCAGTACAGAATCAAATCTGTTTGAGCCTCAGTCCTCCTGAAGCAGATACATACATAACTGGGGGGGCGCTGTTTATGGATATCACTTGGATGTCAGCTGCACAAACCAAATCCTAAATGCCTAACATCACAGCTCATTCATGACAAGGGCCTATGAAACGTTTGTTCCACTTTAAACTAGATACAACTAGGAGATATATGGATGGAGGGAAAGCCAAGCTTCTGGGCCAACGGAGTTTTGAACTTAACAAATTTGAGTTTTGTAATGTTCTCATGTCAGAATAAACACATAGGAAACAAGCCATTAAGAAGCAACGGTTATGAAAAGAGAAACTGTACTTCATAAGAGCTATATTTCTGTCTTATGTGTTGCTCTTAAACTCTTTTAAAGACATCTTTCATATTTCAAAACAATCAAAGCATTTGGATCTGCCCACACCAGTCAACAAATAAGAACTATGCAGTCAAATCCTCTTACAGCTTTTGGAAAATTCCAGTCAGAAGAAATTAAGGTATACCCCAAAAATACTTAAATAACCTAGACAGGTTATTTAAAAACTCTAAACCTCATCTGAAATGAGGTCTCGTGGTACACCGATGAGGAAATCCACAACTCCATCAACTTATGAATCAACTTACTGAGGACTTTCCTGCTTGGTAGGTCATCATACAGCTGTTCAGCATTGATCTGTAGAGCCCTGTAAAACTCTTGGCAGTGTCTCTCTCCTTTCTTTTGAAGGTGCTTTATGAGATCTGAAAGTCTGGTATGGAGTGATGCCTTTGGATTTCTGAACTGTAAGAGGAAAGCACTCATAAGAAGAGAGATGACAACACATCATTTTACAGTACACCAGGGAGTGAAGATACAGAGCTTATTTTACGTTTGCTAAAAAAACAAGTCAAAAAGAGAGGGGAACCTAAAGAGGACATACAGCAGTCTTCAGGACACTGAGCTCCATTTGGTTAGCACTGCCTGATGGAGAACATACTGCCTCTGCCCTCCCTCATTCCTTTTTCTGTCCTGATAAAAGTGAGTTACTCTCCGTTTGAATGTGTTTTCCCTGTGTTCAAACTAACACGGTGCTCGCTATTCTATAATTTGATTCTGACAGCTGTTGATAGAAAACATTAACAAATCTTACAGTAAAGTTCTCTGGTTTCAAATTTTCCCTTATTTGCCTAGTAATGATCATCCAGAAAGGTAGTTTTATACTGCTTGCATTTGTCCTAATGTGTTCATTATTCCAATATTGTATGTTTCATTGCTTCCAGCACAATTAAATGCTGCAACATGTACAAATTCTCAATACTCAGGCAACAGGGCAAGCAGCTGCAGAAGAAAGTACCCTTTTAATGTAGCCCAAAATGTGGTATTAGGAGACCTTACAATGAGAAAGAAAACACATCAAATCAATTTCAGCTTATCTGGAAAATGACCAAACCATTCTCAGCAAAGCATTGTACTTCAGACCAGTACAGCAGGTAACCTTTGTAGTATACTTATGATCAACTCCTGCTCTATGGGGACAGAAATGAAAGATACCTTATATACAATACTCCTTATTCTGACAAAATTCCAAAACTTCCACAAGGTGTACTGGATACAGCTGAGATTGTAAGCTTCCTAAACACAGCTGACAGAAACTTCCCTGGACCTCTGTGAAAACAATTCATTTCTGTCTGCTAAATGCAGAAGTCCCAGATTGCATTTCACAGATTTACGTGTTTATGCTTTTTCTTTTTTTTTAAGCTCTTGAGGAAATGAGATGATCTCTCACTGTGCATGTCACACTGTTTACCTTAACTGAGTGGCTAGACTGGCTCAGCTGATGATCTAGCACTGCTCTGTACCACTGGAACACTACTCATCCTCATGGAGTTTGATTATGACAAAGCTAGACCTATGTTTCCTAGAGTTACAATACTGCTATGCCAAAACCCTGAGTCTTGTGCAGACAGTGAAGGGAGGGTGGCCTTTCTCCATACATAGTGGCACCACTGGAAGGTGTTACTAATTCCATCCATGTCCCACAGCTCCCACACTTACAGATGGGACTAATGCCCCTTTTCTCTATCACTACTTAGAGTTATTAATCATATTAATCAGTAACTAAAATAGATTAATACAGATGATTTTGTGGACACAGCTGGATACAGCACAGATTATCTGACAAGGCTCACACTGACTCGTGTGAGGAGGTAGGCATGCAGAGCATTTAGTCGCCCAATGGGTGCAATCCTGACACAGTGATTATAAGATAGCGTGCTTCTGCACACACAGTGTCAGTCATCATGGCTGGAACTGTGGCATTAAATTACTGATGAAGAGAGTGCCCTCTCTCATAACACCTTGGCACAGGGAATATGCCAGCCCCATGACTTCTCTCATATGAGATGCCAGATACAGCTGGTCAGCAAGTAAGAAGTGAGGCCAGGTTGGATGGATCTTGAGTGATGTGGTTTAGTGTGATGTGTCCCTGCCCATGTCAGGGGGGTGGGAACTATATGATCCTAAGGTCCTTTCCAACCCTAACTATTCTATGATTCTGTAATTCGGTGAGGAAGATTGGCTGCATGTGGGACCAAGAGTCAAGCTGGAAAGAGGGCAGCTGAGCTACTGACCCGCAAAAACAATGCAACATTCAGAGATACAGTAAAATCCATCAATTTACCTTTTCTGCTTCTGCATTGGTAAGAATTTGGGGGTAGACTCTGTTAAGCTGAAGAATAATTTTATCAACTACTTGCTCATTCAGTCGGCTATTGCTTGTAAGAAAGTACACATCGTGCTGCAGCCGATGACAATACGATTGATCTGGAGATAAAATAATACAAAGAACAAACCACAGCAGTTAGTTAGCAAGCCATTTTTTAATTCTGTACATATAATTTTCCTAACACTGGTTAAATAGCTAAAAAAAAATTACCACCATCACATAATTTTAGAAAGCTGAATTATCTGTTAGGGAACCAGAAGATAGCCATGCGCTTTCAAAAACCCATCCACTTAAAATGGCATACATCTGAATTCCTGGCTGGTCACTTATGCTGCTCTCCCTGTCCAAAGAGAAGGTTCTGAACTATTTAGGTGTCAAGCACTGATGATGGAATATTTAATCAAATACAGCCCTAAAGTTGTTAAATCACTGAAGATGTACCTTCTATCATTTATGGAGTCAGATTATGGAGGTTTAAAGTAATGTGTCTTATAAATTTTTTGATGTAAATATGAAACCAGACACTGAAACAGAACTGGAAGATCAGGAACAGCATCTCTTCCAAAGAGCCATCCAGAAACCAGACACTGAAACAGAACTGGAAGATCAGGAACAGCATCTCTTCCAAAGAGCCATCCAGCTTTTTAGGAAAGGACATCTGCCTTAACTTCTTACAGGAGCGGGGAGAAAAGGCAGTCCAAAAGCAGTACATTTTTGCCATGGACATACATTCAAATAAACATACAGTTAAAACACATCTTTCTCTATCAACCCAAACCTCTGCAAATACAGAAATCCAGAAATGCTGTTGTTTCAGGCACCCTTTCCAATTCAACAGCAATGGATTTTGCAGCAGCATAGCTTTCCCTATAGCTCCTTGTTTATAGTGCCTAGATTAAGACAGGGACAGACTGGTTCCACAGGTAACTGTGCCTTTATCAGATTTAGAAAGGGAGTGTCCATGACCCTGTCTGAAGTGTTAAAATGACAATACACCACTTTATAACCCAGCAGCATCGAAAACAAAACCAAACCACACCTGCACCCTCAGCACATTCCCCAGGTAAAACAAATGCACAGGTTTGTGGTATTTTGGCTATCAGAAAATAACACAACCATCAGCTCTTTGTGCCCTGCAATTTACAGAAGATAAAGGAAAGAATGAAGGAGAAGAGTCAGGAAACTGCCATGATGCACTGCACCTGTGCACAGCCCTTGCCCTTTCTGTACCGTGTTTGGGGGTTTTCTGTATTACACTGTCCTTTTTCTGTATCTCTGTAGCACTAACAGTATTTACAGGAAAGTTCTCAGGACAACCTCCCACTATGACCACCATGCACTAGTAACTTCTCCAGTGCCAGTGTCACCCCTATTCAAACAAGAACACACAGCTATTGATACTCTAAGAGAGCTGTGATTCTACAGGCACAACAGCATTTCAGATAAATTCTTACTTTTTATACAAACATCATATTATTTCCATTATTTCTAATGCCTCACTTTTCAACAGCTCACTGTCAGGTCAGGGCAGCTTTTTTGTGTACTGTCAGAAATATCCTGCCCTGACATACTTGCTGTGCAACCCCCTTTTGTTGCAAGAAGTTCCATGTCGTCTGATTCAAGGTTGAGATCAAACTTCTCTTCAAATCAACACATTAGCATACACAAGAGGCTGTGTCAAGGACCAGGAAACTGTGCACCTGAGTCTGTTCAAGTCCCTGCAACTTCCTCCTCCTTCTGCTCCATCTGCTACATGACTTGCAGTGATTCTCAGTGTCACCAACAACACTGTACCTTCAGCAAACTTACAAAGAAAGTGCACTAAACCAGGGACTTATAGCTAGCAGAGCAATTAAACTTCAGATAAAGAACCCCAGCAAGTGCTGAGACCGTGACAAAATTCTGGCAGGAGGAGTATACAAAATAAAATAAAAGCAGGCTCAAAGGGTCATCTCCTTCCCTGGTTCTTGCTTTGCTGCTGCCTTGTCATTACTGATCCCCACACAGGCAGTGTGCACAAGCGTTAATTACAGCAGTGAAGTTAGCTGTGACAACTGAAGATCACAATTATCCAAGAACATCTGAGCAGTGAGAAGCACTCCATGTCCTTGTGGCACTTTCATTTACACACACTCATTAAACCACCACCATTCTTACTGAGGGCTTTGTGCTGCCATCTGAAACCTGGCTCCCACTGCACGTCTAATGGGGCAGAAGCCTCTCTGGGATTTCAGGACTGGCTGTGTTTTCTTCCCATCTAAGCCAAAAGGCAGGAGAGGAGAACTAGACGATGCTCTTGGCCCCTCTGCCTACTGCTAAACTGTGCCTGCCATGGATAGGTCTTACGCCTGGCTCAGGCATTTGCAAGGAACTTCTCCCATCCTATGGGATGCTCCGTTTTTAAGAAGTATGCTTCTTCCACATTCCCACAGTCACATTTTGCCTGCCTGCACCTTCATCTCCTCCAAATTACTTAAGTATTTAGGATGGGGTGCAAGGTTTAAAACTGCCAGAAGAGCATTTCTCAAGCTCAACACAAGCTCAATCAAAGTAGAGCAGAAGTGTCTCACCCTTCAAGTACAGAATCATAGAATAGTTAGGGTTGGAAAGGACCTTAAGATCATCAAGTTCCAACCCCCCTGCCATGGCCAGGGACACCTCACACTAAACCATGCCACTCAAGGCTCTGTCCAACCTGGCCTTGAACACTGCCAGAGATGGAGCATTCACAACCTCCCTGGGCAACCTATTCCAGTGCCTCACCACCCTTACAGTAAAGAACTTCTTCCTTATATCCAATCTAAACTTCCCCTGTTTAAGTTTTAACCCGTTACCCCTTGTCCTATCACTACAATCCCTAATGAAGAGTCCCTCTCCAGCATCCCTATAGGCCCCCTTCAGATACTGGAAGGCTGCTATGAGGTCTCCATGCAGCCCTGTCTTCTCCAGGCTGAACAGCCCCAACTTTCTCAGCCTATCTCCATACGGGAGGTGCTCCAGTCCCCTGATCATCCTCGTGGCCCTTCTCTGGACTTGTTCCAACAGTTCCATGTCCTTTTTATGTTGAGGACACCAGAACTGCACACAATACCCCAGGTGAGGTCTCACAAGAGCAGAGCAGAGGGGCAGGATCACCTCCTTTGACCTGCTGGTCACGCTCCTTTTGATGCAGCCCAGGATATGGTTGGCTTTCTGGGCTGCAAGCACACACGGTGGGCTCATGTTCGTTTTCTCATCAGAATCTCACCTCTCGCTTCTGAAATCTTTAGTCTCTCCTCTGAGAAATCTCTGCTCAAACCACACAAGGGACTGCCTTCTGGCAAACTAGGGGAGAGAACATTCCCATCGACCAGCGCAGAATTGTGCCTCAGCTACTAAACTTAAAGAAAACAAACAAAAAAGCCCCACCAATCCTGGTGGCTGGATCGTGGACCCTGCTCTGGAGAGATAAGCATATCTGGAAAGCACATGTGCACATCTGAAGTCGCCACATGATGATCTCAGGCACAGCCTGCCCCAGGAGCTTCAGCACCTTTGTTATGGCAGACTTGCTCCAAAGCACTGCCAGCCACGGCTTGGTTACAGGCATACAAACATAACCATGCCATGAGGTTTTATAATCACAGCAGTTTTTTAGTATTGAACATGCCCATTATTTATGTTTTAAAGCAAGAGAAACCCCAAACAAGGCAACTTCACAACTGCAGCAAGATTACTCGATGTGCTGTCACAACTTAAGAATCGAGGGAGTGGCTGTTTAGGAAGTTTGCATATCGACCTTTTATCTCACTGCCTCATAGAGACAACAGTTATTGCAAGGAAAATGTGAAATCTTTACATTAAGAAGACTTTGTTTCCAAGCATGAGTCACCCTGCTGTTAAAAGGACAGTGGTGCTGGCAGCCAGCATTTGCCTAGAAAGTTCAGAACAGCAGTACTGGAAGACAAGGTCGATTAACCACAGTTTACAGTACAGGCATGACACTGTCAGGCATTAGGGCATCAGAGATTACAAGGGCACGTAGTGCTAGGACAAGGGGAATGGCATTAACCTGCCAGAGGGGAGATTGAGATGAGCTCTTAGGCAGAAGCTCTTCCCTGTGAGGGTGCTGAGGCGCTGGCGCAGGGTGCCCAGAGAAGCTGTGGCTGCCCCATCCCTGGCAGTGTTCAAGGCCAGGTCGGACACAGGGGCTTGGAGCAAGCTGCTCTAGTGGAAGGTGCTGGAAGGGCGTTGGAACTGGATGAGGTCCCTTCCAACCTAAACCAGTCTGTGGTTCTGTGATTCTATGATTATTTATACCCCCAGACTGCACATGGGTAGTATCTAACTCCAAATTTGTCATTTGATGTTACTCCAGTTGCACACTCTCCTCTGTCAGAACAACAACTTAACAGGGCTTAATCCTGTCCACATGTTTTGGATGCAGCTGCAGGTCTTCTCAAACATGCAGCTGCAGTCGAGGAGTTGGAGGGTTGGGGTTGGACTGAGCTCAGTAAGAGAAGCAGCAAATACAGCTGAGGTTGGATACAATGCCACTTAAGCTTAAAAAAAATGTCAGTATTTTCCTTACTAAGAGGAACTGTAAACTTGTGAAAGAGACAGACAGGAAACTCAAACAGCCTTCGACAGCCACGAGGAAAACATGACTAATAATTCCATGCTATTGACTTACAATTACTACAAGCCTGTCACACCTCATACACGACCGCTTTTTCTCTTACCCAAAGTACAGAAGGCCTCTGGCATACAGCACATGCACACCGCGCTGACATACACAGCCTGCACCTGACCACACATGGAAGGAAAGGAAGTACATGTATAATTCAGAGATATTAGAGAAAAGCAAGTGATTACTGGTTATTTGTAGCCAGCTGCTCCTCAGACAGAATAAAATCCATAAAATCAAGGATAATGAAAGTGCAAGCAGCAAGTGACAGCAGCAAAGCAACACACATCATTTTTTACCTGCAGGCAAAAATCACCCTCACTGCAGCCCTTCAGATAATGACACATCTCAATTGTTCTTTCCAAACAGGCAATTAGGTTTCTGGCAAGGGCTGAAAAATGACCCAGCCTCAACACTAAGGCTGACAAAATATATTGTGCTCATGGAATTAAGGCTCCCTGTAAAAGCCTCCTTCAATTTGCCAAGCAAACAGGATCATCACAAGCTGATAAATTCAAATACAACAGACACAAACCCCAACACATCTCTCTGACATCTCTCTATTCTCCGTAACACCACACATAATTTGCAAAACTCCATTCCAGAAGCCTCAGTGGTATGTGCTGTGCTATGCAAACACAAGCTTTGGCTTCCTGTAAAGCTCCTAGATGATTTTCATTAACTTTATAAAGGTAAATTGACCTTGAAAGCACATGACCTGCCATTTGTATGTGTCCATGCAAACTCCTTGCTGAAGCCTCTCAGGTAAGAGCTTAAAAAAGTCTCTCTCAACAAAATGTTACCTTAACATAAATTTAATTTTTGGCTTTTCCCTTTCAAGAGCCCAAGAAAGGGATGCTGAGGATTTGAAAAAGAATCTGCCTGCAGAGAAATGGTCTGAGATGATCAGATTGCACTGATTACCAAATGCACCCTAGATAACAGCAGCTGGTCTGCTCCTCTGGCCTGGAAGCAGTGATACAGAGGTGAAAGACAATGCGTCCCCACCCTGGCTGCACTCACCCACTGCCACATGCTGGTGCTACCAGCAACTCAGGAACCAGAAGTTCCTGACAGCACATCACAGAAACACAAATTGTTTAAATTGGAAAAGACCTTTAAGGTCATCCAGTCCAACTGTTAACCATCAACTCAGCACTGCCAAGTCCACAACTAAACCATGTCTCAAGCACATCTACATGGTTTCTGAACGCTTCCAAGGATGGTGACTCAACCACTGCCCTGGGCAGCCTGTTCCAATGGCTGAGAGCTCTTTTGGTGAAGAAATTTTCCCTAATCTTCAGTTTAAACCTTTCTGGTGCAACTTAAAGCCATTTTCCCTCATCCTATCGCTTGTTACTTGGGAAAAGAGACCTACCACCACCTTGCTGCAACCTCCTTTCAGGTAGCTGCAGAGTTCTGTAACTCATCTTTACCTAAAATACCTTCTCAAAATAGAAAAAAAATAATAAAAGACTGAGCAAAATATTAAAATGCTCTTGATACTAGAATGTGACATTTGCTTACAGGTATTCCCAGTCTTCTGAGCGTTGTACAAAGGCAGCTCTGAGGACGACTTGGGGGTGCTGGGTGATGAGAAGCTCTCCATGACCCAGATTCAGGGTGCACTTGAGCCCAGAACCCCCCCCCCCGTGTGCCAGGCTGCACCCCCAGAGCGTGAGCAGCAGCTCAGGGAGGGGATCCTGCCCCTCTGCTGTGCTCTGGGGAGACCCCCCCTGCAGCCCTGATCCAGCTCTGGGGCAGCAGCACCAGAGGGACGTGGAGCTGTTGGAGAGAGGCCAGAGGAGGCCATGGAGATGCTGCGAGGGCTGGAGCAGCTCTGCTCTGGAGCCAGGCTGAGAGAGCTGGGCTGGGTGAGCCTGGAGAAGAGAAGGCTCCTGAAGGGGAGACCTGAGAGCAGCTCCAGTGCCTGAAGGGGCTGCAGGAAAGCAGGAGAGGAGCTTTGGCCAAGGGCCTGCAGGGACAGGCCAAGGGGAATGGCTTTAACCTGCCTGAGGGGAGACTGAGATGAGCTCTTAGGCAGAAGCTCTTCCCTGTGAGGGTGCTGAGGCGCTGGCACAGGGTGCCCAGAGAAGCTGTGGCTGCCCCATCCCTGGCAGTGTTCAAGGCCAGGTTGGACACAGGGGCTTGGAGCAAGCTGCTCCAGTGGAAGGGGTCCCTGCCCGTGGCAGGGGTTGGAGCTGGAGGAGCTTTAAGGTGCCTTCCAACACACACCAGGCCGTGATTCTGTGATGTGTTACCTCCACCCCTGCCCCGGTGGGTAACGCTCTCGCTCTGTTACACACACACCCCCGAATCGGGCTCGCTGGCCGCAGAACCCCGGGACCGGCTCCCGCCCGCTGCCGCGGCACACACCGCCGTGCCGGGGGCCCGCCCGGGACGCGTGGCTCCGCAGCGCTGTCCACACCCGGCGACGATGCCGAGGGCTGCAGGGCCGGGTTCCTCCGCGCTACCGCCCGCGTGGGGCCGCTCCCCTACCCGGGGCCCACCGGCAGGCCGTGACCACGCCGTTACAGACTCGCCTCGGAGCTGCCGCGCTGACGGACCGAGCACGGGCCGCTGGCGGCACCAAACCCTGCCCATCACTGCCTCCAGCCGCAGCCCCGCGGGGGCAGCGCCGCCGCCTCAGCGACCGGCCCCCTCTCGCCCCGGCGGCCCCGCCACCGGCCCCGGCCCTCCCCGCCCCACACTCACCGGGCATGGCGGCCCGGCCCGCCGGCGGGCTGCGGCCTTCGTGTGGGGATGGCAGCGGGGCGGTGCCCGGAGGAGGCGCTGCAGGAGGCGGCGGGAGGAGCGGAGCGCTCGGGGCGACTCCTGGGGCTTCCAGGCCGCGTCGCGGCGGGTCAGGCCTCGCCGTGTCAACCCCGAGGGGTAAAACACGTTCGTCTGTAATCATGGAACCACAGAAGCACAGACTGGTTTGGGTGGAAGCGACCTTAAAGCTCATCCAGCTCCAGCCCCCTGCACCGAAGAGAAAGTCTGAGCCTTCTGTGCAGTTTGTGGGGTTTGAAACAATCCATAATTAGTGATGCCGCAATTTAATTTCCCACAAGTAATTTAACTGTTCAAAATACCCTGCCTGCATTTTTGCAATATCCCTATGCAGCTTACAGTTTTATCCTGTGCTGCAGCCCTGTACACTTCTTTTACGTGCTTGATATGTAAGGTAAATCTGACAGGTAGCTACTCACACCCAAGGAGCAGGGACTTCTCTCAGTCAGAGGAAAGAAAGCTTGTGGCGAAGCACCTAATTAATATTATTACTATATTAACTTCCCGAGGGAAGAAGGACAAGGAGATCCGTGCATTTGAAAACCTCCCATCTGCACAAGATTTCATCCACATTTACTCGGTGAGGTATGGAAGATGAAACACTCTCCTGCTGCAGGGCAGCAAAACTGAACCTTAGCTTTGCAAACTGTGATAAAGAGGTATGTTATTTATTACTGCAGAATTTTTACTGCAAAGACTGGCATTTGTATAATGCATTGGGAAAGGCAGATTTCTAGTACGGCAAAGACACAGGGTGATCTATAATCATGGTTTGTCTTGAAGCTATGAAGAAAATGTTTGTGTTGAAGAGGGACAGAAATCTTCTGGAGGGATTAAAATCACAATTGGCAAACTGGTAGTAGATTGGTACGTAAAAGGCTTCAATCTGCCCTCACACAGGCACCTCTTATTAAACCAGTTTGCCTCTCTTAGGAAGGAAGCCCCAAGCACCAAGGAAACTCAACCATTGCCTGGATGATCACTAGTCCACAAGATCCCGAAAGGTTTGCCCTGTTTTGCCTCCAGGCCAGCTCAAACCCAGCATGTGGAAAAGCTGTACCAGTATCCTGGCACTGGTTAAACAGCAAAAACAAAACATATGGCCCCTTGGAATGATGCATGTCTTGGGAACATGTAGCACTGAGGCTGGAGTCAGCAGGTCCTGGCTGACAGGCTGGGACTTCTCAAGCCAGCAGGGAAGGCACCAGTTACCAAATGGGAGGTAAGAAAGGGTTTGGTGAGGGTGTGACTGTGCTTGGATACACACCGGACACTCTCATAGAGAGACAGCTCCAGCAAGCCTGGGAGTTTAAAGCAATGAAAACAGAGAATTTGCTGGCAGTTTGTGAGGGCTGCTACTTGGTGGTCTCATGGAGGGATTTCATACCCAGCACAACCCCAGCGATGGTGCTTGGGGCATGCCAGGGTGCTTCTCGCCCGTCCTGGGGCAGCATTTCACTAGCCGGGTTAACCAAGAAGTCCTGAAGCTGTCTTCTGGATAACTTCTCTGATACCTCGCCTTTGTTGCCAGTGGCTGGCCTTCCCTGCCAGAGTGAAGCTTCTATCCTGGCATGGCTCTCCAAGGAGAGCTGCGTCCCACCCCAGTGCCATGTCACACACCACTGTGCTCTCCATGCAGGGTCTGAAGAGCTCATTGTGGAGACCCTCTGGGTGAGCACAGCCAGCACTACAGTAACACACGCACCATGATATGCACCTAAGTATTTGCTGCACTTCCATTTCAGTATTTAGAAGGGGCCTGTAAGAAAGATGAGGAGAGACTTTTCATCAGGGCCTGTTGCGACAGGACGAGGGGTGATGGTTTTCAACTAAAAGAGGGGACAGTCAGGCTGGACTTGAGTAAGAAATAGTTTACAATGCCCAGGGAGGTGGTGGATGCACCATCCCTGGAGACATTCAGCGCCTGGCTGGATGTGGTTCTGTGCAATCTGATGTAGTTGAAGATGTCCCTGCTCACTGCAAAGGAATTGGACTAGATGAGCTTTGAAGGTTTCTTCCAACCCAAGCTATTCTATGAGTAACAAATGAGATACTTGCATCCCCACACTTCTTGAAAATGTTGGTTTGTACCTCTGTACTACAAATGGAAGCAGTTTTTTTATGTCTAGAAAAGTGTAAGAAAATGGGTAAAAAATGCATAGCAACATTTTTAGTATTGTCAAATGCTGTGACATTTATGGTGTGTGTCCTTGGGAAGATGAATAAACATCCTGAGTTTATTCCATTTACCCTCAGGAATCCAGATCTTCCAAACAGCATGAAAATAGATCTTTCAATTATTTTTATTGCACATGGAAATCTTGATCATGCCTGTATCAGTGTGATTTTTGGCAATGTACTGTAGTAACAGAAACAGGCACCTTGTGGAAAGGAAACTGCCATTTTATAACTCCTTTTATCATACATTTTTAAGACTATTTCATCTGTATATTAAAACAGTGTAGCAAGAGGTGTTGCCTAGTACTGAGAAGCAGTATGGCATGCTGGGGATTTGTTTTCATGCCGTTGTGAATTTACTGGAATTTGTGCTCCTCTGAAAAGTTCACTACCAGAATCTAAACCACAAAACTGAAAAACTGGTCATCTCAATGTGACACAGACTGAAATCTCTAATACAGATCTTGAATGGTTTTTAGCAGATGGCATTTCCGAGCACGGCAAGTGAAATGGAAGTGAAAATAAATCATTCCAGAGAGCTGCCGGTGTGCAGCACCATGCGCCACGCTGCCTGAAGATATTTTTGTCCTATGGACTTAGATAACGACAAAAGTCAGGGGTTAAATATATCTCCTTGTGCCTACGGCACACAAGACTGTATTGCTGTCTGGTTTGCCTTGCAAAGAGAGATCTTAGGGAAGTCACACTGCCACTGCAAGGGCAGCAGGAGGAACATCCATCTGCATACATGGGGCACCTCCTCGGGGAGGCACATACTTGGCTGGAGATGGGCCACCAAATGCCTCCCATGGAATGATCCGTGACATTCAGTGCACACGGCTGGTTAGAGAGGGCACACACTTGGTACTGGTAAAAGCAATCAGCGTATTCACACAGCACTCCAAAACCCTTACCTGTTTTGAGGCAAATGGTGCCTAGTCTGAAACTGCCCACAGACTGAGCGGGACTGCACGAAGCCCCCGCTTCCTGCTGATGGGAGGCAGAGCTCCATTCTGAACTTTGTGATTCAGTTCAGATTTCTCTCTCCTAATTTAGTGGCTGAGCTGAGTGTCCTGCCCATGGGTATTTTTTTCTAAAGGACAGCAGTTGTATTTCCTGGTTAGCTAAACTCCAAATTGCTGTTTCCTCCCTGCTGAACCATTTGTTTACTTGAGTGAATGATTTGATTTAGTAAATATTACCCTTCTACTGGCAGCACAGGCACGTACTGTTTTCTTGTTCTGTTAGTTGTTAAATCACAATATGGTTTCTTATTTTCCCACAGCTGAAGAGGACTGGATCTCTCTGGCAACAAATTAAATCCAGAGAGTGCATGCAGTTCCTTTAACAAAGTCCTTCTTTGTGTCTAAGAAAATACAATGAAATATGGCTTAAAAGCTCAGATTACACACTGAGCTCCCTTCAGCAAGTTTTAGCTAATCGCTTAGAAAAAACTGACTTTTAGAAGGATGAAACACAGGGAAGGCAGCGACTGGGTGGCCACTCCCGTCGGAGACGCTGCCCCTCCTGCCTGCGCACTTCTGTTTCTGCAGATTCGGACTTTTCAGAGCAGTTGTTTCGCCCGCGTTCCTCGTTACCAGTACGCACTTACATGTCTTGTAGAGCATGGTCCATAGGTTTCAGGGGTCCGCGGCGTGCGCGGTGCCCAAGCAGCCGGAGCGCCGTCCGCCGTGCCCGCAGGAGCAGAGGTCGCTGGCGCCGTGGAGAAGCGAAAGTCAAGGGGAGGCAGCGGCTCCGGCTGTGCGCAGGCGGCGGCTGCCTCCCGGCGTGTCCGGGTCACCGCTGCTGCGTGGCGGCTCCTTCGCCGGTTTGCTGGGGGTGTTTAAGGGACGTGTCGTCCCCCTGAAACCCAAGCTGTTGGTTTATTCAAAGGCATGGGATGGAGTTGGGGGTTTTGTTTGGTTTCTTTTCTTGGTTTTGGTTGCTTGTTTCTTTGTGTTTTTGTTTTGTGGGGGTTTTGTGTGTGTGTGCTTTGCAAAGAGAATGGGCAATTTTCTAGTCTTCTTTATATAGTCATAGTATTACAATTGGTATTCTAGGACAAGGGGCATGGCTTTAACCTGCCAGAGGGGAGACTGAGATGAGCTCTTAGGCAGAAGCTCTTCCCTGTGAGGGTGCTGAGGCGCTGGCACAGGGTGCCCAGAGAAGCTGTGGCTGCCCCATCCCTGGCAGTGTTCAAGGCCAGGTTGGACACAGGGGCTTGGAGCAACCTGCTCTAGTGGAAGGTGTCCCTGTTGAACTAGGTGAGTTTTAAGGTCCCTTCTAGCCCAAACCAGTCTGAGATTCTGTAGTTCTATAATAATCAGGTTTTATTTGTTTTTTAGAAGATGAAGAGATGAAGAAATGAAGAAAAACGATTCTCTGACTCCAAACAGAAAGGCAGAAGCTGTGCCGCAAGTTCTCAGCTTTTTATTCCTGACCAGCTAAGCCAAACTATTAGATATGAATAGAACTGACTTGGGCAAAATCATAGCTTGGAGCATCCTCAGGTCTGAAAATCCCTTGTATTTTTTCCATGACTGAATTACACACACCCTGATTCTGCTGTCTGCCACCCCATCCTTGGAAATTTTGGTAGCACTAGTAAAACAAGACCGTGATGCAAATTATGGAAAAATTGAGTACCTCTTGTTCCTGGCACAATGGAAACTTCAGGTTATAGAGTAATCCCTTGTATACTTATCATAAGTCATCATGATAAATATTACAGAAGCTATTGTGTTAGGATAATGAAAATCCAGCCTCACATACATGTTCAAAACCACACTGAGCTTAATATCTGATTCCTTGTGAAGTACAAATCAAATTATACACAAGAGAAAAAATACTGAACTATTTTTTTTTTTCCCCTAAAAAACTCCAAAACATTGAAATTCTTTGAAGGCAGGATGCAAATGAAGTAATTTGAGCATCCTCCTGTTAAAACAGGTCTGCAAAAGAACAGCTGCCAGATTTGGCAAACTGACATTTCACAGAGCTCCAGGGAGAGAACAAAGCCACTTTGTCTACAGTGTCCTCGCATGGAAGCCACCTCCCTGCCAGTTCAGTGCCTCACCTGACCACCATGTGCCAGGAAGGACAGAAAGGATGGTGTGCAGCCAGCATACAACTCATGGGCTTCATGAATCCAAGGCCAGCATCTGAGCATGAATCCAAGAGGCCACTGCAGACTTGGGGTCATAGATGCAACATGCCTCCTGTGGGAAACACTACTGTGAGTATTCCCATTTAACCTTGACCTTGAAAACAAGAGCAGCCTGAACACACATGTAAGTATAGCATGAGGGATCTGGGGAACAAGCTGCTTCTGCTCTGCATTACACCAGATGAACTTTCACTGCCTCACTGCTGTGCCAGAGGAGTTTTGTATTTCCATCACTGCATGAGCATTAGCTAGGAATGGAGAGTGACTTGTGAAACATCTTTATGTGGAGGCTGCTGGAGACTGTACACTGTTTCCACCAGCTGATAGGTTCTGGGTGCTGTGACAATAGAAATGGCTATGGTTGTGGATTAATTATACACGAGCCTTTCAACACTGGCTCTGTCAATCGTCTCTTCATAATAGTTGTTAAAAAATAAGTAGAAAGGAACCCCTGCTCATGTTACTGAAAGGAGAAACAAATGAGGTTTCTTGGATCACTTTTAGGAGAACAGGGCTTGATCAGATTTTACAGTCATGTATTATGAGGTGTAACTTTCAAAAATCTGAAAGGTACTGTTCCACTCCACAGCAAGAGTTTATTAACATGCCACAGAGAAACCTGGCTTGACCCGTTGTAGGTTGTTTTACAGCTCTTGCCTGTGGTCTGACTTGGTGAAAAAAGTCCCAAGGGTATCTGAAGCATGTACCAGTAGGTTTTCTGGACTTCTCATCCATAAGTTAGCCTACCCTACTCCCAACCCCAAAAAAGTTCTTAAACTTATCAACAGTAACTGAATGTACTGAAGTCCTATAGGCACAGCCAGTGAGTGTAGCCACCTTTCTGAAGCAAGCCAGAGGAACATGCAGTTCTCAGGTCTGTCTGGAGGTCCTCCCCCTGCAAGGTACTCATTGTGACGTTGGTTTCTACTCTTTCCTCAGATGTCTTTTCTGAGCACAAAAACTACTGCACTATGGTAAATACAGTGTAAATTCTGCAGCCAAAAACTATATTAGATGCCATCAGGTAGCATTTATGTAGCTCTTCCTGAAACTTCCACAGAACACTTAAGAAATCCCTCAACAAAATAAAATATGTATCACAGTTTAACAGCTTCTTGCTGAGCTATCAATGTTATAAATGGATGCAACTGTAAGTCATCCCAAAAGCTAACAGCTGGCATCCAACCAAGTTTTCTTCTTGGTCCTTCCAAGCAGAAAAATTAATTGCATCTGCCATTTAATTAAAGTTCTTAAAAAGTTGTGCTGCTTGACATTGTTTAAAATAAATGAATAGTTGCAAAAGCCATTTACATCTGACAGTAATCTACTATAGCAGATTCAGTGAGTTACTCCGCTTCCAAGGCATCACTAATGATTGAGATGTTTTGGAAGAAAAAATGTTGGAGATCTCTGCCTCTTCTCCATCCCAAACCATCAGTCATTTATATCCCATTCATACAGCAAACGTCTGGAGTGATCAGCGATTTCTGCCTTCCCATTCCGTGCTACCTCAGATAGTGTTGGCTATCTCCTGCAGGTTATCATGTTCCATCAGTTGCAGTCTAACCAGAACTTAGACTGACAGCAGCAGAACATGCTGAGGAAAACATTTTTAGACTTTCAGGATAATACCCGAGGGGCAGGTGTCCAGGAGAAGGCTTGCATGGCTAAAAATCCGTGTGTAAGCCTTCATGAAAGCAATGTTAACTCTACGGCAGGTACTCTGGTGTCCATCCCAAGCTTTATTGTTCTATCCGGATCAAAATGTAGTCTTTCTTTCAACCATAGAAGATGTGTCAAGATCATATAAACATCTCACAGCTTCAAGTATTGGTGAATCATGAGTCAGGCCTCCCCCAAACCATGTCATAGAAGCACAGAATGGTTTGGGTTGGAAAGGACCTTAAGGTCATCCAGTTCCAAACCCTTGCCGTGGGCAGGGACATCTTCCACTAGACCATGTCACCCAAGGCTCTGTCCTACCTGGCCTTGATGTCATTAGCGTCAAAGAAACATAAGAAACTTGTGTGTTTCTTCTGTTGTTTGACACTTCAGGACTGAAAGTTCTCCCTTCAAATATAAGTGTGAGACACTTTTAAATAGAAGCTGTGATTTTCACCTGTTCATCCAACTCTACCATTTACAGCTTAAGAAAATAAGAAATGTCATATGAGACTTGTGACAAAACTCTCAGGATCTGGCAACATTATACTCTGTGATACCATACAGATACATGTAAAGGAAAGCAAAATAAGCAATGCCTTTGATAAACACTGTTGCCTGTTTTTAAACCTGTGAAGAATTATCCTGTTATACTGTCACATAATCAATTAAATTATAAGAATCTTTGCAGGGAGGGGTCTGTCATATATTTGTTTGTGCAGTTCGAAGCATTTTAACTTGTTCTTTGAGTGTAACCCACCAGTTCCCTAAAACACACTAGGAAATGCAAGTCCTCTGTAGCAGAAATGGGAGCCTGAATCCATTTGAAATTACTGGATGGCAAACATTTAAGGGTTAATTTAATAAATACAAGGTTTAAAATGTCTCTTTTAGATTCTCAGCTGCTTTTATCTCCTTCCTGCACAGCACTTACTTTCCTTCTGACAAGAAGTACTGTTTACATGAGCAGTAAAGCTAGCTCCAGGGGGTGCAGCAGTCATAAACTAAGCACAGACCCAGAGGGATCTGAGCCACAAATCTGATAAATACAGTATGGGTGTTGTTTCCTTAACTTGTAACTTTGCTGCCTCTTGTGTGAGACGCCTAAATGAATGATAGTAATCTGAGGCTCTGGCACAGAGACAGTAAATTTACCTGCCTTTTCTGTTGCTTTCCATGGCTATCAGTGTGCTTCTCACCTCAAGGTTTTGCTTTCTCCCATCAAACATCACTCAGATTCGCCTCATCAGGGTAACTGGTCTCCGTTCTCACACAGTGTGCTGGCCCAGGCATCCCAACAAGTGAATTTCTTTCACTCAGTGACTTGCAATCATATTATTCTATTTTAAAGTCACATACTAAAATCAAAACACCAGCAGCTAAATCATGAAATCCAATTAATGCAACTGCAGAGATGTGGAAGAGGAAGGGAATTCAAAAGAGCTCAGAGAGGCAGGATGAAGCATAACTGGGCCACCCTTCACACTTTTACCTTATCTGCTTTTAAAAAGTGAGGCATGGTATTACTAGTAGAACAGAGTAGTTCACTTCCATGCCTACAACTCTGTTTCATCCTATGTTGAGATGTGCTTTCTTTGCAAATTGGTTAATCGTTTGTCCTACACTCTTTCTGGGTTTCAGAGAAGCACCTTCATTCTGGTAGTTGAGGTTCTCTCCTTTTGTTAAAGTTAGATTTGCCATTTCCCATCTTCTAAGACCTCCCTTGTCTCTTCAGTTTCCTGAAGCTGTATCGATGATGGTTCAAGTATTGCTTAGCCAATTCCTTTAGTGCTTTAGGATGAATTTCATCATGGAATCAAATTTATCTTAATATTTGTGGTGTTCTTGCTTTATTCTAGACTGCAATCCTAGCCCCAAGTTAAAATCCATTGCATTAACCACTGAACTCAGTGATGCCTGATACAAAGTAGGCAGTCATCTCTGAGTCCATTTTTGATTTTTCCGAGAAATACCTTACCTGTAGTTTCACTCTGTTTCTTCCCCTATATTTTTATCTTCTCTCATTTCCCTTGTTTGCTGTAACTGTCACTTTGACCTTTCTAACAACTCTACTCACCCCTTTGGGGCTGCTCCTCAATCATCTGTCATGTTTCCATTTTTTAAGTTTTTCCACTCTTTCATGTTCTCAGCATTCTTAAGGCAGCTGTATCAGATCTTTGCTATCCTCTGCATTGGGTCTCTCTGCCATGCCTTTAAACAGCCTCTGCTAGTGACAGCCAGCTCTCCTGCACACCATCTATCAGCTTGTTTCTGCACAAGTCCTTGTTATTTTGGTATGTCAAATTTTGCCTTTTTGAAGTCCATTTTCCTTATTCTGCTGCTCTTCCTCCTTTTCTTAAAAATGTGATGTCACTTATTTTTGCGTTCACCCAATGCCATTTTTGATTTTAACATTTTCCCCCTGCTCTAGTCAGAAGCAATTGTGACCCCACTCCCCACCATGTGCAGACATAAATCAGTCACCAAGTTGTATATTTGAACTCTTGATGATTTGTACACTTTTCCAGCAATTAGACCAATAACGTCACCTAGTATTAAAGATGGCTCTGTTATTTCCCTAAGTAGACTTCTTCCAGCTCCTTCTCCTAACTGCAGGATCACCCAGCATCCCATGCTCCATGCTCCTTTACCCTTCGTTCTCCAACCACAGACATCCATTAATGAGCATTTCACCTCATGCTGAACTTCAGAGAGTGCACAGACCTTTCTTCTCATGTATCCTACGTGGAACAAGTTATCCTTTACAATGCCAAGATCCTAGTGCTAGAATTTCTTCCAGAAGCACTTAGTAATTCTTGAGTTGTACTTTTTGTTATGTGGAAAGTCTTTAACTCCTTTGCATTTAATTCTGATATCTCAGCCATGTGTATAAGAGCAGCTCAGATGTTTGGCTGATTTTCTCAGACTTTGTTCACCTCTATGCTCCTTTCACACATTTTCTTATTATTTTCACTCACCTGCAGAGTTTCACCACTGCTGCTGTTCAAGCCCTCCTCTCAAACATGACCCAGAAATGCTTTTCTATGGAGCCCAGCCATTCCCAGCTGTCCTGCCAGAGAGTCCGACAACAGCAGTGAGGAAGAGCTGCCACTGTGCAGTCGGAGTGCATCGCTTTATGTAGAGATTTCATATCCCTGGAGATGTGAGGAAGAAATTGTTTACAATGAGGGTGGTAGAATCCTGGCACAGGTTGCCCAGAGAGGTGGTGAATTCCCCGTTCTCGGAGACATTCCAGGCCAGGCTGGATGGGGTTCTGGGCAACCTGATCTAGCTGAAGATGTCCCTGCTCATTGCAGGGGGGATTGGACTAGATGAGCTTTGAAGATCCCTTCCAACCCAACCAAACTGTGATTCCGTGATCATCTCAAAAACATTCTGATCCCTCTGCCTCCTCCCCAACTTTGGCAGCAACCCTGAGTGTTGGGTGCCGGCAGCTGGGTACAGGCAGTGGAGCTAGTGCCAGCCCTGTGTAGAGAGAAGCAAAAGCATAACATGGGATGCAGGAGCACATGTGGGTACAGAAGCTGGTTGGGTCTGGCAGGGTTCCGAAACACTGCAGGCAAAAGGCTCACAGAACACATATCTCCTGGTAATCATTGGCTAGTATTGATTTAATGAATTGAGAACTTAACTGGAACAAGTTATGAGAATTATCTCCATTCTCCTTTTCACAGCACATACTGAGAATTGCATTGCAGGGGTACAACCTGTTGTATAGAAGAACTGAGCTTACAGGAACAAAAAACCCCAAACCCTTCCTTTGCTGAATTTCAAGCACGTGGTTTTGATCTCTGCCAAGCGTGGCTAGGATGGAAAAGGGCATTTTTAGGCCTGACAGCAAATTACAATAATTTGAATTTCAAACCTGAAACTTCAGAACTGAAGGTCTTAATAGGATACCTGATTCACAACAAGCAGGATATACAATAAAACAGTTACTGGAGCTTGCTATAAGATCGTATTTCCATCATGACAGGAATGTGACAATATCCATTAGACAGATGATGACAGGAGAATAAATAAAGCTTCAACTTGAACAAAAATAACAGTACACTATCTATAAGATATATGTGTGTGCATACAAACAACAGAATCAGAGCCGTATCAGTTACTTAGCTATTCAAAATGAACAAAACAAAAAACCCACCTTGTTTCCTCACACAGCAAACAGATTAATAATTGGAAAAGAAGGCAGGTTTTCCCAAAAATGGATCACCCGTCAGTGCTCTCACAGGGATGCTGCAGTGATGCCCGGGCCACCTTTCCACCTGCAGGCATGCACCAGCTGGTGGATCCAGAGCTGTGCCTTGGCTGCATGCCGTCACACGTGGTCTTGAAATGCAGAGCACGAGGATCCAACAAAAAGGCTTTCCTGATACCAAACAACAGGGGCTTTTACTTAAAACCAAAGTTTTATTGTAGTTTTATTATACTACTGTGTAAAAATATGAGGGATTTTTCATTCTGAAATGCTTACAAAAACCACTGGTTAAAAGAAGGTGGCAATCTTACAGATGTGTAATTTTATGATCAGTAACTTTGTATGAGGCAAATATACAAACTAGCTACCATTTCTCTCTGCATGTACAGAAGATTTTGGTTTTGCCATGGTCACAAGATGTAGCACACCATAGAGAATGGACTGTAGGCCTCAACATTCATTTTTTTTCATAACTTGAAGCATTTTTATTAAATAACCATCTTGGAATATAGAAAACTTTCAAATTCATATGAATAATTCACTCTCTATGTTGTCTTTAAGGCACATATTTCTATCCAAATTTCATTTGGGTGCAAAGGAGCAGTTGTGTATCAGACAGCAGCAGGTATCTGGCAGCTCAGTTTGTTAAAACTGTCCTTATGTCCATGGACTTCAACGAGAAGTATTGAGCTCACTGTCTGTACTGCAGTGTTGTGTCCCGATACAGCCTGTTTCATCAGTGTACTACTGCTCTTGGTCAACTTAGGCAGATGATTGTTGTCTTTGCAACACCCAGGAGCTATGATGTCCCGAGGCCACTCCTCCTGGAACCTGCAAATGTAAAGGAAAAGTTATTTCTGTTTCATTTGCTCTGGTGAAGATACAGAACTTCCTCATCCACTTCATTTGCACATCAGTCATTTTGCAAACCTTGTGCTGTAACTCACTTCTCCTAGCATTAAAAGCAGTTGGCAGCAGTGGAGCAAATGACTGTGTCTATGTAAAAGCAGATGCAGACCTTGAGAACACTTGTGATGTTGCTGTTATTTGGGGTTGGGGCAGATGCTGTTTGCTTTCCATCAAATGAGTCCCCAGCTTCAATTTAATGCTATGTTATTTGGATTTTTACAAATACTTGAATTCTGGGACTGGTGTAGAAAGAAAATCTGTGCTTGGTTAGCAGAGCACTGCTGGGATCACAAGAGCCAGTTGTGCTCATCAGGATTTGAGGTGTTATTTGCAGAGCTGCCAGTGATGCTGATGCAGTGCAGTCACATCATGCCTTGTGCTAACCCTTGACTGCCCAGTCTGGCTACTGCCTGGCCCCCCCAGAAGGGACTGCAGGCTGAGGCTCCGCATTTCCAGCAGCTCTGGTGGTCATTAATTCTTCCCACACCAGGAAAGGAGATCTGCCAGCAGTGGGGAGACAGGCTGCAGCCCCAATCAGCAAACCACCCAGAGGTGGACGGTGTGGGAAGAACAGTGACAGCCAGAGATGGCAGAATTCCTGAAGAGATGCTCAGTAAACTACACACAGGAAAATGAGATGTGGGATCAGCTTGTGTTTGCACGCTGCTGCTGGAGGCATGCTAGATACAGTGGGCTTTAAGCACATGGCTCTGTGGACCAGAAACAAATAAGACACGGCCCTTTGGGGTTTGTGCCAGATGACTCTGGTCTGAGCATGTGGGCTTTTGTAAAACACCATTTACTCCACAGCAGCTGCCTGCATGCAGGGCAGATGCTGAGATTGCCTGCCCCACACTGACACCACTGAGCACAGCAGCCTGCACATCCTGCACAGTCAGGATGGGGTGGTCTTATCCTTTTGTACATGTAAAGCTGGTCAGGAAACAAGTTACATTCTGCAGTTATCTGCTGCAGAAAGCCAGCCAGCAGAAATGTTCCTACACAAAAAGTGCACATATACAGAAACCACAGGGGAATAACAGAAGATAAAACCAAATAACCAAGCTCTTGCTGTTCCGGTACTGAGTACAGATACATCTCCTGTAAAGGAGAATGAATCTTGCTCTTCACTGGAAAGCTGCATTACGAAACTATCTGGGGCATAAGCTACAGTCAGATAATGCAAAGGCATCTTAGAGCTCCTCTGCATTTGATGTAAGAAGACACTGTCATCTCAATATACTTATCGAGGTGGTGCTCAGATGAACAGAATTTACCCACCTGTAATTTGGATAACAAGCTCATCTATTTCTTAAAAAACCCCAGCCTGGTCATTTGGCACACTTTGTGTTGACCTGCACTGTTTTAACTGTGTCTTTTATTCTTGGTGCACCAAAGCCCTCGGGTATCTTTGTGCTGGACACTAGAACACCTATCTGAGAACCCCTGTGCCTTGCCATCAGGGAAAAGAAAGCTACATGAGGTTACACTGCAGATCTCACTGCTGAAAGAAAATCTTCTGAGACACTTGCTACTGCGCATTTCTTAATAGTACATTGGAACTCAGTTCCTTCTTCTTGAGGTGGTATCAACAGTTACAAAATAAAAATGAAATCAAAAGAGCTTGTACAGGGAGAAGAACTGGGATAAGTTTAGCATGGGGTAGCCCCAGCCTTTGCAACTAGCCCTGCCAGGATTACAGTTCAAATCTGGGTGTTCTGGTTACGGTGCAATAAATATACTTTACCTGGGCAGAATTCATCCCATTCTGACTCTTTCTCCTATAAAACTCTGTACTGTGAATCTCTGCAATTACCCACAATCCACCAGCAACTCAAAAACCTCGACTGGCTAAAACTCTGCCTGGAGGACAACTATACTCCTGACTAAGCAACCTCTTCTTCCTATTTTGGGAACTATAAGTCTAGGATGAGGTGGCAGTAGGCACCCTCCATTCACTGCACTATGTTGAGCCCTGTGGATATCAGAAGGACAGTGAAGTCAGTGGAGTCCCACCTAAGTGGAGGTTGAGAAATGCTATTAAGAGGGCTGAAATGTCAACAGGGACAGATGAGCACACAGTGAGCTCTCCTCTGCCTACAAGGCTGTCAGTCAGGACTGGCCTTCAGTCTGCACTTGCATCCTCAAGAGCTCTGTTCTTTGTCCTGAGTAAGTGTAAGTGTGTTTTTTTAACAAGTGCTTCAACTTCCCTGAACTCCAGTTTGCAGGAGTTTCCAGGGCTATTTCAAATGTCATGGTAAGAGGATTAGAAGACCTCCCCGTGCTCTTATCTGGAAATGCAAACTCACCCAAGGATGCTAGGTGCGCAGTACATTTGACCAGGACAGACTTTATTTGACAGATAAAGATGGAGCTCCTATCTAGGGAGAAGAACAGCCACCAATGGGCTTTATTGATTGCTTGGTTACTTGAGAGCTGTTCCTAGCTGGAGGGGAAAACACAGTTAATGGGACATCTGAGAAATCACAGCACTGGGGCTACCACAACGCTGCCCGGTGCTGGGTCCAAGCACAGATTCTTACACTGGAGGATGGGAGGGGATTTTTTTGTTACTGTGTGTCTGGTGACTTTGTACAGGACCCTGGGGGAATCATGGAAGCATTATGAAAATAATAATAGAAGCTTTATGAAAAGCACATGTTGCTGTGCACACCCCCTTTGTGCTCACTGTGATGGCAATTCAGATGAGAATTCAGGAATCAGTCTTACTTAGCAGCTTGCTCTTCCACTCTTTGTGACAGGGCCCCGAGATTAAACCGCGGCTCACTTCTCCTGCCTGACTTCTCTTTGAAACATGCATGTCAAAAGGTGCTGGAAGATTTTAGTCTCTGAAAGACGGCAGTGGGGAGCACAGAGCACCACAATAACAAACTAGAGGAAGAAAACCCTCCATGAATAGAGAAGCTCAAGGTGGGACAACTCACAGGATGGGACGATCTATGTGAAAGCTTAAAAAAGGAAAACTGCCTCTCTCCAGTCCCAAGTGCCACACAATCAACCACCACACATGTGAGGAACTGTATTGATTAACTACAGTTGTATCAAACGGGTCATTTGCTCTTTGCAGTCATGTCATCAGATGCTTTATATAGAGAAGTATTAAACATCGCAGTGACAATAGGTCCTGCATCTCCTCCTGCAGCCCAGGGAGCAGACACCAGTGGCTCTCTGCAATTGAAGCCTCAAAGCTGATCAGGGGTGGCCATATCCAACCTGCACAGACAAACAGTCCCGCACACGCACCACAGCCTTGGGCACCAGGAGCCTGTGGTGCTGAGCTCTGCACACCTGGGCTTCCAGGCCAACAGAAGCAACTTCTGACAGGAAGGCCAATCGTAAAAGCAAATGGGTGGATCTTCTAGAGGAGTGTTGAGTTCTCTGTGAGACCACTGGCCTTCAAAACCACCCAGAGTGTTTTCCACAGCCCCTCTAACAGCCTTGCACTAAGTCACTGTTGTAGAAGATGTTTTGCCACCCTAATTCTCCCTCTGATGATATTCTAAGTGTCCTAGTGGGTTTTTCTTGCTCTATTTACATTTTCCATCAAGCTTTGCAGCAGCTTGTCTCTCAACAAAGGTATTTCTTCAAGTGTTGTCCACTTTCACTGTGGTAAATCAAATCTATATAGAGCCATAGAATCACAGGCTGGTTTGGGTTGGAAGTGGCCTTAAAGCTCCTCCAGCTCCAACCCCTACCACGGGCAGGGACCCCTTCCACTGGAGCAGCTTGCTCCAAGCCCCTGTGTCCAACCTGGCCTTGAACACTGCCAGGGATGGGGCAGCCACAGCTTCTCTGGGCACCCTGTGCCAGCGCCTCAGCACCCTCACAGGGAAGAGCTTCTGCCTTATGTCTAGGAAAGGCATCAGATCCTTCAGCTTTTAAATCTTTTCTACTTAGGTGTTCAGAGGAGAAAATCAGCTGGGAAAGTGGCCTCAAGGGGGCACAGGGCAAGGTAGGAATGCAGCCAAGTGTTCCATCCCATCTTATCCATACTGCTAGACAGTCCTGGGCTTACAGCCGTGCTCCTCAAGCAAGCCTGGACAGACATGAACATTTTTCAGAACAATATCAGTTTCTGACTTGCACCTTCCTTGCAACCCCTTACACAAGGTAGTGGAAAACTTCAACCATTATAGCCACTAAATCAAAGAGAAAAGGAAAACACATTTCATTTTACTGTGGAGGCCAAAGCTATGAGCTAATTTCACAAACCTTGCGTATGGTTTTTGGACTGACTGCAAATGCTGAGGTGCCTCTCCTAAGAGCATCTGGATTTGGAGTTCTTTTCCAAAACCCTTTCACATGGACATTTTTGTTGTTGGATTGTCGTTACTTGCTTTTTGCCAGGTACACTTGTAAAGCATCTTGTAGTCAGAAAGGGCTCTGGTACAAACATTTCAGGTACTGAAAATATCTCTGTGGGAGAACACACACTCCTGTTTTTCTGCAGGAGAGATTTTTTTTCTTCTTGATAATATGCTCCAGCTGAAAGGAGGACTTCAAACCTACCGAGACATGGGCTTTTCCATTGGGCTCACTCCTGCAGTCAGATCAGCTACATGATAGAGAATGTTTTATAACTTGGCCTAGAGCTGTGCAAAATAATTCACCTCGAAACAGTCCAAATTTTGAATGCACAACTTATTCCACACGCTTTAACACCGGGGTGGGGTGCGGGGGGGGGGAATTACCAAATTTCTTCGCTGCCTTCAGGTGTATTTTCAAGCTGGACTGCTTTCTTTCTGGTGGTCTCTTACCTGACAGAGGATGAAAAGGAGTTAGTCACCGGCTAAAGTCAGTTCTCCCTGTGGGTGGAAAACACTGGACCATCAATTCTCCCTTGCAAAATTGGAGCACTTTACTGTGTCAAGGGAGTATCTACTTCAGGCCAGGTTACAGCG